GCCCGCAGCCCGCCACTCTGGCCACCCCGCGCCGCTCCCGCCGCCGGAAGTGCGGGCCTCCGGCCCGCGCCGCAGCGACCTCTCTAGGAACGTGGCGGAGAGACCCTCTATGGTCGGCGCCCACCCCAGCCGCGCTGGCTGTGCGGCCCGCCCGCCGTGTGCCTGTGTGTGTGCGTACACTGTGTGTGTGCATACTCTGCGCGCGCATGTGTGTGTGTGCGTGCGTGTGTGTGTATACACTGTGCGGTATTCCGTGAGTGCCTACTGTGGGCATTATGCTCACCTTTGGTCCTCGGCTCCACCCCGGCCTGTGCCCCTGTCATCCCCGGAGTTCCCGCCAGGCAGCTGGCCCCTCCCTCTCTGCGCCCAGATCCACCTGAACCCCATCTACCTCCCTCCCTCCCCTCAGACACCTCCTGCTACCTGGATGGTGGGGGGGGTGACTTGTGCTCCCTTTGGGTGCCTGCCTGCCTCTGCGTGGTCCCCTGGGATGGATGTGTGGGATCCTTCATTTGGGGTGGCCCGGAAACACCTACACGGTGTGATACTCCATGTGTACACACTGCTTATACATATGTGTGCATGGTTTTGGTGCTTGGGCTTAAACTCAGGGCCTGAGCGCTGGCTCGAGCTTTTAAACTTAAGGCTGGTGCTCTACCCTTTGATCCACACAGCCACTCACAGCTCTTTTAGTAGTTTATTGGCTATCAGAATCTCAGACATTCCTGACTAGGCTGACTTCCATCCTCAGACCTTAGCCTCCTGAGTCACTACGATTACAGGCCACCAGGTGTCCAACTGGAAATTATTACATTCTTAATAAAGATAACTGGGTATCTGGTATAAACATACACTTTTCCCCCCACAACTCATTTATTTTCACCAACAGCCTAGGAAAAATCATACTTCAGTTACAGCCCAGGGAATTTACACTTAGAGAAGAAATTTGCTCACGTTTGCACAGTACCTAACCCCCTTTGGGAGAGGCCAAGAAATTTCCGCTCCCAAGTCTTTTTTAAAAAATGTGTTTTCTTTGTTTTGTTTCTGGAGGTCCCAGGCTTTAACTCAGCTTCTTTGTGCTCAAGGCTAGTAGTACTCTACCACTTGAGCCACAGTGTCACTTTTAGGGTTTTTTTTTTTTTTTTGAGTAGTTTATTGGAGATAAGAGTCTCATGGGGACTTTTCTGCCCAGGCTGGCTTTGAACTGTGATCCTCAGATTTCAGCCTCCTGAGTAGCTAGGATTACAGGCATGAGTCACCTGTGCCCAGTTTATATTTGTATTATTTTTAAGTAGTTGTACAAACGAATTAACATTCAACAAATCAGTTTATAGGTACAATGACTCTTGATTAATGTTACCCCCTTTATCATTCTCTCCAAGACTTGATTTTGAGTGGATCTACTTAATTTTCTTTAGTGATGAGTTCTAGCTTCTGTCCCTTTCAGGGAATAGCTTCGCTGGTATTCTCCTATGTTCTAGACTCCCTTGGATCCCTAGGGAGCCCCTCCTGGCTGAGACTCCCTGACTGTAATTCATGGGGTGCAAATACTACTAAACTCCAAACTTGAGTATCCAATTGATTACTCAAGAGCCCTAATTATATGTGTGATAATCATGCCAAAGTATTGCACTGTTTTGTTGTTTTTGTTTGTCTGTTGTGGAGTGTGAACTCAACCAGGGTGCTAAGCTCTTTTGCTCAAGGCTACTACTCTACCACTAGGAGCCACTTCCCGTTTTCTGGTAGTTAATTGGAGATAAGCATCTTAAAGACTTTTCTGCCCTGGCTGGCTGCAAACTGGGGTCCTTACATCTCAGCCTCCTGAATAGCTGGGATTACAGGCATTAGCCATTGGTGCCCAGCTTGCACTGGCTTTTGTTGCAACACACAGTGATCCCTTTAAAAACAGGCGTTCAAAATCCCCCAAAGGCTTCTGATCCGTGACATTAACTGCCACGATGGGTCTTTTTACTTTGTTGTGCATCTGCAGTGCTAAGATGGTACTTAGCAGGTAGCAAGCACTCAGTAAATGTTTATTGCATTAATATTTGTGTGTGTTGTAATTGAGGGTTGAAATCAGGGCCTGGCACTCTTGCCTGACTTTTTCCAAGGCTAGTAGTGCTCTACCACTTGAGCCACTCCTCTACTTCTAGCTTTTTGCTGATTAATTGGAAATAAGAGTCTCATGGGTTTTTCTGCCAAGAATGGCTTTGAACTGCAGTTCTCAGATATCAACCTCCTGAGTAGCAAGGATTACAGGTGTGAGCTACCAGAGCCCAACTTCCAGTTTCTTTTCCTTCTTCTTTTATTTTTTTGGTTGGTCGTGGGGGCTAGAACTCTGGGCCTGGGCACTGTCCCTCAGCTCTTCAGCTCAAGGCTAGAGCTCTACCACTTGAGCTACACCGCCACTTCTGGCTTTTTCTGCTTATGTGGTGCTGAGGAATCGAACCCAGGGCCTCATGCATGCAAGGCAAGAACTCTACCACTGAGCCACCTTCCCAGCCCCTTCCAGTTTCTTTTTAAGCAAATGAAATGATCAATTGTGGCCACCTGTGATACCTGAGAAAGGAGACAGGGACAAGAGAGGGCAGCTGAAACAGAGGCCACGCTCTTCATTAGACGTCTCACTGGCTGGGGTGTCTCCGGAAAACTGCCCAGCAGGGGTCACTGTGTCCCTGAGTGTGGTGGTATTTGAAAGGCTTATTGCAGAAGAATCTTCCAGGCTGGGATACATCCTAGCAAGACAACCGCCATTTCTCAGGGTTTTAATACACACACACACACACACACACACACACACACACACGATAAGATGGTGTGTGTGTGTGTGTGTGTGTGTGTGTGTGTGTGTGCTGGTACTAGGGTTTGAACTCAGGGTCTAGACGCTGTCCCTTAGCTTTTTCACTCAAGGCTGACACTCTACCACTTAGCCACAGCTCCACTTCTGGCTTTTTGATGCCTAAGTGTGATCAGAGTTTCAAGGGCCTTCCTATCCAGGCTGGTTTTGAACCTGGACCCTCAGACCACAGCCCCCTGAGTAGCTGGGATGAGAGATGTGAGCCACCAGCTTCGGCCACACACATACCCCAAGCTCAAGCCTACAGAGGTCTGTCTCCCCCTGAGCAGCCCTTCAGCCAGGGACCCTGGACAATGGCCCTTTTCAGCTTGAGACTTATTTCCTTTGGGTTTTCTGGGAAAGGAAATGGGGATTCCCATGTCAGGGCTGCAGTAAGCCTCCCTGAGAAGAAAGCCCCTGAAGGGTGTGAGCCCCACCCTGCGTGCTGCGGGTCGGCAGCATGTCCACAGCTGGCACCCATCCAGACAATCACAGCTCTTAGGGCCTAAATATAGTGCGTGCATCTGGCTGCTTTTATGCGTGAAGCTTCCTTCCTGATAGCTACTGAGGGGCTGACAGATGGGGTTGGGGGCTGCACTCAGCACCCCACTGACAAGGATATCCTGCCTCCATAGCAGCTGCAGGGCACCAGTGCCCACACCCAGGGCACATTTGGCCAAATCCCAGATCCTCTACAAAAAAAAACCTGGCCAGACTGCCTAGTAAGTCTTGGCCTTATTTCTCTGGGACGAAAGGTGCCAGGTGTATCCTGGGTAGATGGCTTTGTTTTGATGATGTGATCTTTAATCCACTTTCTGGCAAACACTTCAGGCAGGTGATTATGGCCACAGAAAAACAAGCTGGATCACTCCTCTCCCCCCCACCTCCCCCCAACTCTCCCACTTCTGGCCATTTGTTCTGGACAAACAACTCTGTTTTTCCTTTTCCTGAGTGCAGACCTTTCACAATTGTGTTGATTTCATCTTGTGTGGTTTGTTAACCTTCTCTGATCCCTGAGGGCTGGGCTGATAGTTCTGGGATAGAAGATGGCATTTTTCTGGCAGGGATCTGCCCTTTATCTTTGGATACCATCATTGTTTGAGATTGATAAAAACCCATGAGCCATACTTGGCACTAAACTTCTCCCCAGACAGCAGGCTATCCCAGTTTCTGATATCTTAAATCTTGTGTTAGAGACCCCAAATTAGCAGCTTGGCTGATGGCCTCTGAAAAACAAATGTGTTGATGAAAAGATTTGTGACGCTCTCTGCATGTTGTGAAAAGAAGTTGTTTTTTTCCCTTTTCTGTGCAATTTTCCTCTTCGTTGCAATATTCAGAAATCAATGTTAAGAATAATGATTTCCACACTTGAACTTATCTAAAAAGGTCTGACATGATATTTGAGCAATTGCAAAAATCAACCAACTAATCAGGCTGGTGGGTGCTTACAAGATTTCCTGCTTCAAAAGCTTCCTTGATCCAAGCCCTAGTCCTGCTCCTAGGCCAGCAAGATCTTCCCATCTGTAATCTCCCCAGAACTTTCCTAGGAACTTAACTGGTTCTCTGCTTCACTGGTCTTCATACATTCCCAATGCCAGGCCTGCCTCTCCTCATGAGGAGACACTATGGCTCTGTCTTTGTCGTTTAGGGCCAAACATGCTACAGAGAAGTGGACATGTAGTTGTCCTAGACCTGAAGTTGTAAATACAAAAAGTAAAACTGTCTGGGACTTTCTGCTTGATTTCCTTCCTTCCTTCCTTCTCTTTTCCTTCCTTCTTTCTTCCTCACTCCCGGCCTCTTTCCATCTCTCTTTTTCCTTCTGTTTTTTTGTTTTGGTACTGGAGCTTGAACTCAGGGCCTTCATTCAAGGCTGGTGTTCTCCACTTCCAGGTTTTGGGTGGTTAATTGGAGGTAAGAGTCTTATGGATTTTCTGCCTGGGCTATCTTTGAAGTGGGATCTTCAGATCTCAACCTCCTTAGAAGCTAGGATTACAGGCGTTGTTACTATGTCCTCTCCCATTTGGGCTGTACAGTCTCCATCCTAAGCTCTCAGCCTCTATCTCTAGCCCCTAGCTGCATCAGCAGAATGCCTTCCACCCAGACCTGAACTCTATCCTGCCTATGCACTATCTTTGGTGACCAGCTGTGCATGCGGAGTACCTCCTACCTCTAATCCTGACTATTTAACGATGCCCTGAACTATTTTTGGTGACTAGCTGTGCATGCGGAGTACCTCCTACCTCTAATCCTGACTATTTAACGATGCCCTGAACTAAGACAGGTGCCATTTCTCCCTTTCCCCATGAGAGAGGTTGCCTTGTCAGCCACCCCCCCCCCCGGGCCGGGAATAAACCCCTTTGTTATTCGTGCCTATGTCTGTGTGCTTCTGGGATGGGTGCTATCAGCTTGAGCCATGGCACCTGATTCATTTTCTATTCTACTGAACTCCTGTTTGGAAGATTCCAGAGACCATTCTGGGAAGGAAATTCTATAATGCAGGGTGCCATCACCACTGACTTTCCTCATGCTCCAGACCCTATGCCAAGCCCCAAACTCCTTCAAGTGAAGCAAGCAACGTCAGCATCACAGGTGGTGTACACTAGCTCTTCTGCTAGTCATGGTCCCATGTATTATAGGATAAGGGCTTCTCATTAGGTCAAGGTCAGCTGGGCACTGGTGGCTCACTCCTGCAATCCTAGCTACAAAGGAGGCTGAGATCTGAGGATCACAGTTCAAAGCCAGCCTGGGCAGCAAAGACCAAGAGACTCATCTCAAATTAACCACCAAAAAAGCTGAAAATTGGAAGTGTGGCTCAAGTGCAGAGCATCCGTCTTGAGTAAAAAAGCTAAAAGACAGTGCCCAAACCCTGAGTTCAAATCCCAGTACTGGCACCAAAAAATAAAAAAGTCAAGGTGGAAATGTAGAGGAAAAAGGAAAGGAATCTCAGCCCAGCGCCAGTGGCTCACGCCTATAATCCTAGCTACTCAGGAGGCTGAGATCTGAGGACCGATATTCAAAGCCAGCCAGGGGAGGAAAATTCTGTGAGACTTTTTTTTTTTTTTTGGTCCGGTCGTGGGGCCTGAACTCTGGGCCTGGGCACTGTCCCTCAGCTCTTCAGCTCAAGGCTAGCACTCTACCACTTGAGCCACAGTGCCACTTCCGGCTTTTTTTTTCTGTTTATGTGGTGCTGAGGAATTGAACCCAGGGCCTCATGCATGCAAGGCAAGCACTCTACCACTGAGCTACCTTCCCAGCCCCTCTGTGAGAATCTTATCTCCAATTAACCACCAGAAAACAGGAAGTGGTGTTGTGGCTCCAGTGGTAGAGTGCTTGCCTTGAGCTGAAGAGCTCAGGGACAGTGCCCAGGCCCAGAGTTCAAGTCCCATGACTAACGAAAGAAAAAAAGAAAGGAAGGGAGGGAGGGAGGGAGGGAGGGAGGGAGAAGTGAATCTCCCTTCTCCAGATCCAGCACGTTTTATGGAATACCTAAAATACCACAGTGCCAAAGTGGAGACGATAGGAAAACCACCTCTAGGCCTCTCCGGCCATCTATGTGTCTCTCAGATGATGGAGCTGGGTCTGGAGAAACCTGGACTAAGTCCACTCTGAAGAGTAACTGTCCCCAAGTTCTGTTCTTCACAAGGCAGAGGCTGGGCATGAACTGTCTTCTCCCTTTAAGTCCCAGTCCCTGGACCCCACCCCTACCCCCACCCCCACCCCACCCCGCACCCAACAGGAAAGGAATTTGCTCTCCAGTTTGCTTTCCTTTTAGACAAACAAGACTGATGTAAATCCTTGCATAATTTTGCAAAGGTTTTTCTCATTCAGTCCAGAAATTCCCTAGCAGTCAACAAACACAAATTGTCCAGTATCTGGTCCCAAGGGAATTGAAAGCCCTTTGTCCCCAAACAGACCTTTCACCTCTTTGCTCTGTTTTTCAGGGAAGTATTAAGAATTGCTCCCTGACACTAGAAGTACAAGGCTCAAGTGTAGAGAAGATGCACAGAGGCCCACAGGAGAGTAAGAGGGAGGGGGAGCTGAGCATTGCCTTTCAATATCCACCAGTCCTTTATTGCCAGATGAACTGCTCTCCTTGGCTGATTAAATTGAAATGTTTCCTGCAGTAAGCTTCTTGAAAAAGTTTTGGAGGGGCGCCAGTAGCTCATGCCTATAATCCTAACCAATCATGAGGATCCAGGTTTGAAGCCAGACTGGGCAGGAAAGTCTGAGAGATTCTTATCTCTACTTAAGCACCAAAAAAGCTGGAAGTAGAGCTGTGGCTCAAGTGGAAATGCTAAGGGACAGAGCCCAAACCCTGAGTTCAAGCTCCAGTACTGCGTGTACAGGTGCATGTACACGGGTGTGTGTGTGCACTTGCCCACACACAAAGAGAATTCTGTGGGTCTCACTGAGAAGTGAGGATACTTCTGCAGACATCAGATGGGGTCCTCGTGGTTGTATTGCAGATCTCACATCTGCACTGGAGGGAGCGGTGCCGTGCCATGACATTATGGCTGTCTCCATATGGGTGGCAGGCCTGCTCTGTGCATGGCAGGGGAGAAGACAGGAATCCTGTGGTTCATGGATGGTTCAAGGATGATGACAGGAACTTGTGATGAGGCAGGGCTCTGGGCAAGCCGATAAAGCCCAGGCCCCGAGGGATGGGTCAGCTGCTACTCTCCTGATTGAGAGAGGTGAATGAATGGGTTTCCATACCAACATCCATATAAACGTGGCTGATGCCACACTGGCAGGCCAGCCTCACACACAGAACACAGCTGGCGTGTTCCTGGCTCCTCAGGCCCCGATCTGCTCCCTGGAAGGGGGTTCCCATGGGGCTGAGGAGAGGTATGCAGAAAGGCTACTTGGGCTTTGGGCAGGGTAGAAGCACAGATGCCAGGTTCCTGCAGGGGCACAGAGGCCATTGGTCAGTAGCCAGGCTGTGCTGGGCCACTGGAACTCCTCATGTGGTTGTCACGGGGACGTCCGAAGAGTCAGGTGCTAGCTGACTACTTGGCTTCCACTAGCTGTTCCAGGCGCTGTAGCATTGTCAAACGAAGGGCTTGGAACCTTGAGGGAGACACAGATAAGGTGACTGAGGCTGGGGGGAGGGGAGGCAGGAGAGTGGGAGGGAAGGAGAGAGTACAGCTCTCTGGTTCAGGAAACCACTGTTCCCAACTGGCTAATGGCCCACCATCACCTCTCCTCCACCACAGAGGGGAGTAGCCTTGGCCCTCTTATGAAGGGTGAGCAGGACTGCAGACTGCATAGACCTTCTGAACAGAATGCTAGACCAGGAGCCGGTGGCTCATGTCTGTTATCCTAAGTACTCAGAAGCCTGAGATCTGAGGATCAAGGTTCAAGGCCAGTCCAGGCAAGAAAGTTTGTGAGAATCTTATTTCCAACTAACCACCAAAAAATAAGTCAGAAGTAGAAGTATATGGCTCAAGCAGTAGAGCACTGGCCTAGAGAGAAAAACAAAACAAAATAAAACAAAAAACCCACCTTAGGGACATACAATACCCAGGACCTGAGTTCAAGCTCCAAGATAGACAGACAGACAGACAGACAGACAGATACACACACACACACACACACACACACACACACACACACACACACACACACACACCCTACAGAATGTCCAATCAACCACCACATAGCTCAAGCTCAAATAGTTGAGCACCAGATAAGGGACTGTACCTAGGCCCTGAGTGCAAGCCCCTAGTTTTCTCTCTCCTCTCTCTCTCTCTCACTCACTCACTCACTCTCTCTCTCTCTCTCTCTCTCTCTCACACACACACACACACACACACACACACACACACACCTCAAAACAACAACAACAAAAACCTGGAATGAGGACAATTCTATTCCACGAGTTCACAATACACAGGGATGTGCTGGGGCAGAGAGCTGGGGTAGCAGAGTTGGGTCAGGTAGTCTGGGCTTGGCAACTAACTTGTGCCACAGGAGCAGACTGACTAGCTAAATCCCTAGCTCCTTTCCAACTCTAAAACCCTGGAATGGCCAGGCACTGGTGGCTCACATCTATAATCCTAGCTACTCAGGAGGCTGAGATCTGAGGATCACAGTTCAAAGCCAGCCTGGGCAGAAATAAAGTCTATGAGACTCTTAGCTCCAATTAACCACTAAAATGCTGGAGGTGGAGGTCTGTCTCAAGTGGTAGAACACTAGCTTTGAGCAAAAAAGCTAAAGTTTAACACCCAAGCCCTAAGTTCAAGCCCCAGTACACACACCCATATCCCTACACCCCCCACATACACACCCCCACACACAAATTAAAAATAAAAACCAAAAACATAAAAACAAGCCAGATGCCAGTGGCTCACATCTATAAACCTAACTACTCAGGAGGCTGAGATCTGAGGGTCAAGGTTTAAGGCCAGTGCAGGCAGGAAAGTCTGTGAGACTCTTATCTCTAATGAACCCAAGAAAAGTTGGAAGTAGAGCTGTGGCTCAGGTGATAAAGTACCAAGCTTGAGCAAAAAAGCTCAGGGACAGCACCAAGGCCTTGAGTTCCAGCTCCAGGACTGGTAAAAACAAAACAATAACAACCAAAACCTATCACACTCCTGCCCCTGCCTTTTCTTCTGCGGCCCTCCTTCAGCTTGAGCCCCATCTAAGTGGGTGTCCCCCTCTAGGTTGGCAGGCTCTCTCCTCAGCTTGATGTCAGTTCTGAGCAGGGGCCAGACAGTATGGCTGGGATGCCAGGGTAAGCAGGCTTTCCAAAACAGCAAGCCCACCTGGCACCTTCCGAGGAGAAACAACTGCCCACAGAGCACAGGGCGCCCTGCACACACGACCTGGAGGTCAGGACCCGCCAGTGGCTTAGGTGGTGTTGCTTACTTCATGGTGAGTTTGATTATTTCTCTTTCTTCCTCTTCTTTTAATTTTTCAACAAAACTGTCCAGCACTGGCATTTCAAACTTAATGTACTGGGCGACCTAGAAAAGCCAAGAACATTTTTGATGTGAATGAAACCAGAAGCACAAAATTTTTGTGCCAGTTCTGGAGCATGAACTCAGGGCCTTGGTGCTAACCCTAAGCTTTTTCTCTCAAGGCTATCACTGAGCTACAGCTCCATTTCTGGGTTTGGGGTAGCTAATTGGAAATAAGCATCTCACAGACTTTCCTGCCCCAGGCTAGCTTTGAACCATGATCCTTAGATATCAGCTTCCTGAATAGCAAGGATGATAGGCATGAGCCACCCGTGTCTAGCGTTCCAAAATGTCTTTTTGGTCACCTCAAGCCAGACAATGTCTTGAACCCACAGAATCTGCTCATCTTTTCACCTTACTCCTAACTCTGCTTTCTTTGTGTCATGGGAGAATAGGAACATTTTCTTTTTGTTTTTGTTCTTCTCAAAGGCAGCTGTTATTCCTGGGAGGAAATACTGAGCTGAATATTAGGAAAAGCATTCACTACTGTTACACTGTCTAGTGGTCCAGTAGTGTTCTCAGAGGCGGGAGGGGCTGGGCAACAGGATTGTCATTGTTTCTAACAATGGAGCAAAGCTATACCAGTCCCGTGGGAAGGCCGAGTGGGTGGGGCACCAGGCCTGCTCTGTGGGGTTGAAACTCTTCAAGTCTCTTCTGCCATGGAGTTTGGAAACCTGCTCATCTATTGGCTAGAAGCTGGACTATTAGTGAGGCTTAGATACTTCCTTTCTTTGCAAAGGCTCAAGTTGGGCCCTAGCTGAGGAGTTCTTGTGTGGGTTTCATGTAATGGCAACAATGCTGTGATGGCTGGGTGCTGGTGGCTGAGATCAGAGGATCACGGTTCAAAGCCAGCCTGGCAGGAAAATCTGAGATTCTTATCTCCAATAAACTACTCAGTAAAAGCTGAAAGTAGTGCCGTGGCGCAGGTGGTAGAGCATTCGCTTTGAAGAAAAAGAAGTGATAGCACTCAGGCCATGAGTTCAAGCCCCAGGACTGGCACCAAAAACATGCTCTAATGAAGGAATCTGTCTCAGAGGAAAATGACAAGGCTATGGTTTTCTAGATCCTAATTCATCTTTCTTTTAAGCAGGCTATGTAGCTGGAGGCCACAGGACAGGAGGCTGAAGAACTGGAGTCCTACTGGATGTCGGTGGAAGCCTGGAAGGCATCATCCTGGAGGATGCTCTCAGGGCCAAAGTCACCTTCAGAGCCCTCTGGAGCCCCCTGTGTCCTCCTAAGCCCTTCCGAGGAGCAGGCCCCAGCCCAGGGCCACTTACATCGTGAGGTACCTCCTCGCCCAGGTCAGCTTCCATCAGGAAGATCTTGACAATCTTCTCACAGGGCCCATGCAGGATTCTGGAAATCAGTGGGTACTCACAGTCCTTTAATCTGGTCCTCTCTGCAAGAAAAGTCATTATAGAAAAGTCCTATGTAATTGCTGAGTACCGGTGGCTCAGGCCTGTAATCCTCACTATTCAGGAGGCAGACATATGAGGATCAAAGTTCAAAGCCAGCCCCAGCAGGAAAGTTTGTGAAACTCTTATCACCAACAAACTACCAAAAAGCCAGAAGTGGATCTGTGGCTCAAGCAGTAGAGCACTATTCTTGAGTAAAAGAGCTCAGGGACAGTGCTCAGGTCCTAAGCTCAAGCCCCACAACCACCACAAACAGCAACAACAAAAAGGCTAATGAGGACTTTGCAGTTACCATGAAATTCTGAGAATGATAGTAAGCGTGCCTGGGTTTGGGCTGAAGAAGAGATGTGTGAGGAAGAGGGCAGAGGCTGCCAAATCAACCGATTCAGCCACGCCAGGGCCTTTACAGAGAAAGCACTGGCTGTGAGTTTGCCTTGTTGCTTTTATGACCTAGAAGTAGAAACTGACACTTACCACCAGATTCATGGACGATGTAGAGCGCAAACTCACTGGGTCCATCTTCTACCTGCACAGTCACAGGAAGTCAGACACAGGTCGTAGAGATAAAGGGAAACAGAGGGACTACAACCACAAAAGCCACCAAGCCCCAAGCCCCATTCCTCTGTTTAAAATCCCAGGGATGCCCTCTCAGCAGAGAAAGCCTTATTGGGCTTATCATAGGAGCCATGGGCAGCTGACCCCAGCCTTGCCAGCCCTGCTCCCACAATGCAGACTGCCAGCATCCTGGGCCAGGGCTGCCCCCAGGGGGCCAGACTTACCCGGAACTTGTTCAGCAGCAGCGTAAGCACCTGCAGGGTGGTCATAGTGCTGTTGACCCTCACATTGGTCACGGATCCATAGGCAGGAGTGAACACAGAGGTCTGTGCAGGGCAGAAGGTCAGCTCAGAGCAGGCCTGGAGGAGCCCTGGGCTGGTTCTCAGTGATGCACTTTGGGCCCCAGGAGCACCAGCACTGCTCACCCACATGCAGTTTGGCTTGTATGGGCTTGGGAAGCTAACAGTGCCTTCTGGAGCTTAAGAAAGATGGCCATGTGTCCATCAGGACCAGTTCTCTGGACCCCAGGATCCAGTTCATCAGATGGATCAAATCATCTAGTGTCTGTTGATTCTACAGGCTAGAGATTCCCAGGAGCTGCCATTTCCCCACAGTGCTAAGGGGAGGCCCCCAAGTCACACTGCAGAACTTCCCTTCACCTTAAGCCTTCCAGACCATTTTCCATACTAATGTCTACAGTACCACCTTCCAAAACCCTGCAACTCCACATGCGGCCCAGCCCCCCTTCATCAAGTGAAGTACAGTCCTACTTTTGCCTTTCCTCTTCTCCAATGATTAGACCTCCTGAACCAGAATCTGCCTCTGAAGTAGAGTTCAGGCCTGCTGTCTCATAAGTACCATGTCAGAGCGCTTTTGTGAAGTGTGCTTTGAGGTAAAAGTATCTGAAGACACATCGCCTGGATGACACAATGCCATGCGTAGCTCATCTTTTTGCTACCTATGTATGACAGGATCCTTTAAGCCTCCTGTGCCATAGACATGTTTTGCGTAGACTCACTGTATTCCGTGTGTGTGTGTGTGTGTGTGTGTGTATGTGTGTGTTGGTACTGGAGCTTGAACTCAGGGCCTGGGCACTGTCCCTAAACTTTTTCAGTCAACACTGCTACCCTCCCACTTGAACTACAGCTCTATTTCCTATTTCCAGCTTTTTGGTGGTTAATTGAAGATAAGAGTATCACTGTTAGGCGCTGGTGGCTCACACCTATAATCTTAGCTACTCAGGAGGCTGAGATCTAAGGATCGCAGTTCAAAGCCAGCCTAGGCAGGAAAGTCCGTGAGACTCTTATCCCCAATTAACCACCAGAAAACCAGAAGTGGTGCTGTGGCTCAAGTGGTAGAGCTCTTGCCTTGAGCTGAAGAGCTCAGGGACAGTGCCCAGCCCAGAATTCAAGCCCCATGACTGGGGAAAAACTAAAAAAGAGTATCACTGGTTCTTCTGCCCCAGCTGGCTTCAAACAACTATCGTAAGATCTCAGTCTCCTGAGTAGCTAGGATGACAGGTGTGAGCCACCGGCTCCCAGCTGCTGAATATTTTAAGACAGTCTTCAATTTAACTCCCCAATGAATCATGTGGAATTAGTTCCTTTTCCTTAGAAAGAAAGTGTATGCTTGGGGGAGTGGTGTTAAATAGCTGGTCACACCAGGTACCATGGCTCATGCCTATCATCCTAGCTACTCAGGAGGTTTAGATATGAAGATTACAGTTTGAAGCTAGCTTGAGCAGGAAAGTCTATGGAACTGTTTTTTTTTTGGTTGGTTGTGGGGCTTGAACTCTGGGCTTGGGTGCTATCCCTTAGCTCTTCAGCGTAAGGTGAGCGAGCATTCTACCACTTGAGCCATAACACCACTTCCGGTTTTCTAGTAGTTTATTGGAAATAAGAGCCTCACAGTTTCCTGCCCGGGCTGGCTTTGAACCATGATTCTCAGATCTCAGCCTTCTAGTAGCTAGGATTACAGGCGTGAGCCACCAGTGCCCGGCTCCATGGAACTTTTATCTCCAAATAACCACCAGAAAATAAGAAGTAGAGCTGTGGCTGAAGTGGTAGAGCACTAGCCTTGAGTGAAACTGCTCAGGGATAGTGCCTAGGCCCTGAGTTCAAGCCCTAGGACTGGCACCAAAAGAAAAAAAAAGCTAGTCAGGGTTGTCCCTCTAGAAAGGACAGTGCCTTTACTAAGAACTGTGTGATGGCTGAAACCCCAATGAAGCTGGGAGGTGGTATGCTGCCCCATCTGTGTGACTGGACTTCTCCTTGTTCCACAAGCCAAGTTCAAATCTGCAGAGTCTGCTTCTACAATTTGCTTTCCCAAGGAAGTAGCTGAGGCTCAGGGTACTTAAGGCTCTTTTTCAGTATCCCTAGCTAGTTTCCAGTCTGTTCTGATCCAGCATTAGCCTCAAACTGTAGCTCTCCACAGCTGAGACCTGGAGGATGTGGCTCATACACTCACTCCACGCAGGGCAGAGTTAGGCCTTCCATTTCCAAGAAATAAGGAACAGAGACGTTCGGCTTCTTAAGGATATGATCTTGTCAACAGGAGGCCTTTCCTGAAGATGAAATTAGTCAGCTCCAAGTAAGAACTGAAGATGAAATTAGTAAGAATAAAGGGCCTTAGGTTACTTTCTCATCTCAAAAAGACCTCATTTAAATGCTACACCAGCTGGGTGCCAGTAGCTAGGCCTGTAATCCTAGCTATTCAGGAGGCTGTGATCTGAGGATAAAGGATCAAAGCCAGCCAGATCAGAAACATCTGTGAGCCTCTTATCTCCAACTAACCAGCAAAAAGCTTGAAGTGAAATTATAGCTTCAGTGCTAGAGCACCAATTTTGAGCAAAAAAGGGAAGAGAGAGTGAGAGGCCATGAGTTCAAGCCCCAATACTGGCACATGTACATGCGCGCGTGCACACGCACACACAGAAGCGGCTCACACTGGAAAGGCCTCCACTTTCTTTCCCGGTATAGCAGGATATGGCAGGTCATAGGACACCCTAAACAGGGCCTCACCCAAGCTGCCCTTCCATTTATAGTCACAATCAACTTCTCTAGTTGTTTACTCATGATGTAATGGGGGAAATGGTGCTTTCTCCAAGGTCGGTACAATACATACTAGGACAAAAGGCTGAGTGCTGGGAATTAGAAGCCACCCAGGTTCTGTGGGAACACGCAGGCCCTGGGGCACACCTCACTGAGAAGGCTTAATTGACCCAGAAAGGGCAGCTGGATACACAGTGTTCCCAGGAACAAACAATCGATGGAGCTGGAGGGTGGGGCCATCAGAAATGTCAGCGGTAATGATAATCTTGTTGGGTGGTGGCCATGGCTCATTGGTATGGCACTTTCCTAGCAACTGTGAATCCTGAGCTCAAACTCTAGTACCAACAATCGTAACGATAATCATGGTAATAAACTCGGCATTACTGTTTGCCTTAAGCTGTGTGTGTGTGTGTGTGTGTGTGTGTGTGTGTGTGTGTGTGCTGCATGTGCAAATACTAGGGTTTGAATGCAGGACCTGGGCTTTGTTCCTGAGCTTTTGTGCTCAAGGCTGATTGATGCTCTACCATTGAATCCACAGCTCCAGCTTCCTGGTAGTTCATTGGAGAGTCTCAAGGACGACTGCTTGCAATGTCTACCCTCTGATCTCAGCCTCCTGAGTAGCAAGGATGACAGGCGTGACCTATATTGTCTAACTGCTTTAAGCTTCACTTGCCCAAACTCCACAGGATGTGGGGAATCTCTGGACTGGGCAGGGGGGTGGAGACAGCGTGGGTTGAGGATGGAAGTGCTATGCTGAGGTGACTTTGGACTGGTTATTTCTCCTCCTGAGAAATCAGGATGGGAAGGTCCTGGTGAAATGGGGCTCCTGACTCTGAGCAGGGTGATGATTCCTGCACACCGGACCGGGGACCAGGCAAGGCTGGGTGGGGACATTACCTTGTGATTGTAGAAGTGCCCGTTGATGGAGAAGCGGTGTCTCCGCACCCGCTGGGCCTCAGCAGGTGTGCGGGACTTGGGCCTCCTCTGGATCACACAGCTGGCATCGCTCTGGGTCCGCAACAGCTGTGGGATCTCCTCCTCCTCCTCCAGGGACCCTGCAAAGGGAAACGAGAATGGAGGAGGAAAAGGTAGCAACTGCCATGGCCCTAGCAGTGGGGACCGTTGCCACAGGGGCTGTGAGGCCCCCAGAGCCCTGGCAACGCCAGTCCCAGCACATGGCGGGGGCAATGATGGCTCCTGTATATTTATCTTATTTTATTTAGTGAATTGTGGGGCTTGAACTCAGGGCCTGGGCACTGTCCCTGGGCTCTTTTGCTCTAGGCAAGCGCTCTCCCACTTGACGTCACAGCTCCACTTTGTGTTTTCTGGTGGTTAATTGGAGATAAGAGTCTCACGGACTTTCCTGTCCAGGCTGGCTTCAAATTGCAATCCTCAGATCTCAGCCTCCTGAGTGGCTGGGATGACAGGTGTGAGCCATGGACTCCCAGCTCTTTTTTTTTTTTTTTAATGTCATGAAGCATGGTGTTAGGGGACTCGGGGCACTGAAGCGGTGCAGTGATGGGGCTCCTCAGAGGTGATGGTCAGGGGCCAGGCCGCTCTTCTCCCTGAGTCAGATAGTCTGGCAGGTCCCACTTACCTGAACCATCTCTGGAACTCATGGCCTTGTGTTGGGGCTGAGCACCCGGCTCCTCAGCGGTGCTCCCACCATCCTGGGGTGGCATCTCCTTGCTGAAAAGAGACAATCCTGCTGCTCAGGTGACTGCTGTCCAGAAAGACAACTCAGGCCAAAGAGAAGGCTCAATTAGCAGCAGGCTGAATGGAATAATTTGTTTTGTTTTGGGTCAGTTGTGGGGCTTGAACTCAGGGCCTGGGCATTGTCCCTGAGCTTTTGTACTCAAAGCTAGAGCTCTACCACTTGAGCCACAGCTCCACTTCCTGTTTTTGGATCATTAATTGGAGATTAGAGTCCCACAGACTTGCTTGCCTGGGCTGGCTTTGAACTGCGATCCTCAGATCGCAGCCTCTTGAGTAGCTAGGATTACAGATGTGAGCCACCAGGGCCTGGCTCAAATGCAGTAAATTTTAAACAATAAAATATAGTAAAGGGCTGGGTGCTGGTGGCTCATGCATGTAATCCTAGCTAATCAGGAGCTGAGATCTGAAGATCTCAGTCCAAAAACCAGCTGGGTCAGAAAAGTCCATGAGATACTTATCAAAAGGCAAGAAGTGGAGGTATGGCTCAAGGGGTAGAGCACCAGCCTCAAGTGAAAAAGCCCAGTAAGAGTGAGAGACCCTGAGTTTAAGCCCCAGTAGCAGCACACACACACACACACACACACACACACACACACACACACACGAAATTGGTGGGAGCCACTTGTGCCTGGCTGCTAACTTCTTTAAAAAAAAATATATATATATATATATGATAACTCCCCTTTTTGAGGCGGGTAGTAGAGGTATAGGAAGCAGTATGACAGGTAAGACATGGTATCCTTCTGATTGAAACATTTTTTTGTTCTTTTTTTTTCTATATCAAATCTTTCTGACACATTTTTGAACAGTAAAATCAATCTGACCTTACATTCAGATACATTTACAAAAACAGAGCATACATTATAATAAAAGCAATAGGAGTGGCAGTGCATGCCTGTAAGCCTAGCAGTCAGGAGGCCGAGGCATGAGTTTGATGAGTTTAAGGCGGCCTGAACTACATAGCAAAGCCATGCCTTGAAAGAAAGAAAGTATAGAAGAAAGGAAAGAAGAAGGTGGAAAGAAGAGGAGAAAAAAGGGGGAAAAAAGGAAAGGAAGGGAAAGGAGAAAGAAAAGAAAAGAGGAAGGAAGGAAGGAAGGAAGGGAGGAAGGAAGGAAGGGAGAAAGGAAGGAAGGAAGGGAAGAAGGAAGGAGGTTATTTTTGTGTGAATTCATCATTAACACTTTCTCAGTGCTGTACCCAATGGGCTGGGGAGAGATGGTCAGTGGTAGAGTGCCTGGCCCTGGGTTCAATTCCCAATACTACAAAATAGAGAGGGAAGGGAGGAGGGAAGGAGGCCACCCAGAGTCAGGGTATGTGTGTGTGGCCAGGCTATGCCCCATGCCTGAGCCCTGGGCTGAGGACACACTAGAATCAACAGTAGAGTTTGAGCTGAGAGGTGTTCTGGAGGCTCCCAGTCCCGCCCCATGCTGGGCACTCACGGGGAGCAGCTGGGCTGTGGGTGCGACCAGGAGATGGAGGAGAGACGCACACGTTCGTGGTCATCCTGCATCTGAAGCCGGATGGGCCGCCTGAGCCCCCACGCGATGTTGAGGAGCCCCTCAATGATCAGAGCCCCTTCCTCCTGGGAAAGGGAGTGCAGATAGGTCAGTCTCCTCCTTCAGAGCAGTGGACATCGGGGACACCTCCCCTGCCCCGAAATGCCCTGACAGGTTACTCAGGCAAGTCCCCAGATACACTCCTCTACGTGCTCTGAGGCAAAGAGCCAGGGCCTGAGGGAGGAAGCCAGAGTTCAGCCCAGGCCTGGCCAGACAGATGGTCAGGACAGGACAGAGTTGCCGAGTCAGGTGTCCCAAAGGACCCCAAAGCTGTCCGGCATGCACGTCCACATGATGGCCAGGAAGCACATCCCAGAGAAGGCCAGTCTGGCTGCCTCCCTGACCAAACTGTGCCTGGCCAGGGTCCTGTGGTCACCAGCTCCTGAAGGGTCTCATGCCCACCAGGGCAGTGGCTGCTGCTCTAGCTAGATCTGAGCTCTGCCCTCTCCTCATACCCCAGACAGCAGCAGTACCCTCTTACCTGGGGTCAGCCCACCCCAGAATTCCAAGCTTGTTTTCTTCTTGATGGCTGATTTTTTGGGGGCTTGAACTCAGGGCCTGGGCACACTTGCTTAGCTTTTTTTGAACAAGTTCGGCATTCTGTCACTTGAGTCACAGCTCTACTTCCAACTTTTTGGGGGTTCATTGGAGATAAGAGTCTCACAGACTTTCCTGCCTGGGCTGGCTTTGAACCTTGATCCTCAGATCTCAGTTTCCCGAGTAGCTAGGATTATAGGCGTGAAGCACTTGTGTCCATCTTTTTTGCTCACTACTTCTGGAACACTGACGGCCCCATGTTTTGCCCCATCAGTATCTCTACAAAAGTTCTCATCCTCGACCCCAGCTGCTTGGGCTTCCCCTCACCTCAGCTCCACAAGGTGCACGGCATCTTCTCACTCCATGGGTGCCTGGCTGGCTTCTGCTCATACTCCCATGCCTTCGTTGTCAGGCCAATTACCCACAAGCAAGCCTGGCCAGATATCACTATTCATATGTCCAGAGAATCTTCTAGAAAGCTTGGGCACCCTTTTCCCATGGATAGCCAACTTGGACCCTCACTCTCCCATTGCTGTTATTTTTTAGGTTTGTGGTAAGAACATTGAACACACACCCTGACTCTTACTGGATATGTGTGTGTGTGTGTGTGTGTGTGTGTGTGTGTGTGTGTCTTACTGGATATATGTGTGTGTGTGTGTGTATGTGTGTGTATACGCACATGCTGATACTTGGGCTTGAACTCAAGGCCTGCATGCCGTCCCTCAGCCTTTTCCACTCAAGGATCGCATTCTACCACAGCTCCACTTCTGGCTTAAGTGGACATAATAACAGTGTTACGGGTTTTCCTGCTCAGTCTGGCTTTCAACTGTGAGGAAGAAGATGCCACGGAAACGTGCACAACTATGGCAGAACTCATGGTGTGGATCTCATGGTTGCTAATCACTTCTGTGTTTCCAACACCCCACCACCCACAGAAAAGGAGGTCTACTGTCAATGATCAGAATGTACACACAGCTTTTGGATAGGAGCTTGCAGCATTTGCTAAAGAAGGCAATTAAGAAAGTAGCAAAAAGCTGGGTGCCTTGGTTTATGGCTATAATCCTAGCCGCTCAGGAGGCTGAGATTTGAGCATTGAGGTTTGAAACCAGCCTGGGCAGGAAAGTCTGCAAGACTTGTATCTCCAAGGAACCATCAAAAAGCTGGAAGTGGAGCTGTGGTTCTAGTGGTAGAGTGCCAGCCTAGAACAAAAAAGCTCTGGGTCAGCACCCAAGGCCCTGAGCTCAACCCTTTTACCAGTACAAAAACAATTTTTAAAAATGCTAGTAGTGTGCTTATATTTTTCCTTTCTTTTTTAGATCCACTAACAGGACTCGAACTCTGTACCTGATGCTTTCACTCACTGCCTAGTTTCTAACCCCAGTGTGCTTGTATTTTTAATAACTGTATTATAGACAATGGTAGATTGCATTTGCGATACATATGTGTGAGAAAAAAAAAAGAAAAAAGAAAGCAACCTGTTTAGGATGCTGTGAGGCCAGGATTGTACCCCAGGGGCTGCTCTTCATCCAGTCCATTGTAGGCTGTGCTCAGCTTGGAGCACACCTAAGGATCCTCTAGGCTGTGGCTCTGTGTGGCCGGTGTCCCCTGTCATGGTCACTCAACCAACCCTACATGTGCAGACCCAGGGCCCAGCAGAAGCCAGTGGGAGGCCAGGATGTTGGTGTACTAGCGTAGCATATACATGGTAGGTAATACTTTCTGGCAGTTATAGACCCCGAAGCTGTCTGTCCCCTGACTCTCCCAGGGCCTCCCAGGCCGGGACACATGAGCACTACTCCCCTCCTGTCAGTGTAAACACCCTCAGCTTCCATAAGACAAACAGCTCTCCCTGCTGGCAGCTGGCCCAGGCCCTGCCCACCAGGCTGTTTTCCTCCCAGCCTTCCGGAGCACAGCTATTCTGGGCCCTGTGACAGCAACTGATGGCCGCAGAAAAGATATAAAAGCAGCCACAGACCTTGAGTTCTCAGGAGAGAACATTATCCTTAAGATTCTCCCAGGGACCCAACACTGGACCCAACCTCCACCTCTCCACCACAGAGCTTCCTGGGGACTAGACCAACCTCGCCCCATCCTCCCTGCTGCCTTCATCCACCCCACAGCACAGGTAAGAGAGCAGTTGCCTTCTGGATACAGGCAAAACGCAGGGCTGTGTTTATCCTGGACAGCCACCCTCAGCTTGGAATGGTCCAGCTTTCTTACTGGGTAGATCAGGACAAAGCTACCAGAAGCAGTGGCTTTGTGCTGACACACAACTTTTATATTATTTATTTATTTATTTAGCGCCAGTCCTGGAGTTGAACTCAGAGCCTGGGAGCTGTCCCTGAGCAATTTTGCTCAAGTGCTCTACCACTTGAGTCACAGCTCTACTTCTGGTGGTTAATTGGAGATAAGTCTCACAGACTTTCCTGCTCAGGCTGGCTTTGAGCCTGATCCTCAGATCTCAGCCTCTCTGAGCAACTAGGATTATAGGTGTAAGCCACTGGCACTCAGCCAGCCACATGGTTTGATTGTGCTGGTCCTGGAGGTTGAGCTCAGGGCTTCCCACTCTTGCCTGACTTTTTCACTAAAGGCTTGTGCTCTACCACTTCAGACACATCTCCACTTCCAGCTTTTTGTTAATTCATTACAAATAAAAGTCTCTTGGACTTTTCTGCCTGGCTGGTTTTGAACCTCAATCCTCTGATCTCAGCCTCCTAAATAGCTAGGATTACAGTTGTGAGCCACCAGTGCCTCACTGCTTCTGGCTTTTTGCTGGTTAACTGAAGATACAAGTCTCATGGACTTTCCTGCTCAGGCTGGCTTTGAACCTCAGTCCTCAGATCTCAGCCTCCTGAGTAGCTAGGATTACAGGTGTGAGCCACTAATGCCTGGCTATGCCTGTGAGTTTTTAATGTGGGTAGGGAGGAAGAGCAGGGAGCCACAGGCATGGGCTGTGAACCTCACCTCTGCAGCCCCGGATGGAGGAGGGGACAGAGGAGGGGGTCAGGCTGGGACTACAGGCCCTCACCTCCTGTCTCCCATCTGCCAACAGGTTGCTGCCTTGGCTTTATCAGCAGCAATGAGGTCCCGGCTTCTGCTGTCTGTAGCTCAACTACCCACAATTCGAGAGACTTCAGAGGAGATGGTGGCCGGAGGGCCCGGGCAGGAGCCCGCAGCCTCTCCCAGCCTGGACGACTACGTGAGGTCAATCTGTCAGCTGGCACAGCCAGCTTCTGTGCTGGACAAGATTGCAGCCAGGGGCTGGACCAACAGACCCCACCCCCCAGCACAGGCCAGTGAGAAGAGCCGCCTGGCTGTGACCCGATTGGACAAGACTCCCTGCTTCAGTGGGCAGCTGCCTACAGCGCCCTCTGCTGGCACTGCTGACCCTCTGGATTGGCTCTTTGGGGAATCTCAGGTAAAGCAGCCAAATAAGGGCTTGTCCAGGGCGACCAGCTCCTCTGATGGCCACTGGGATGCACACAGACCGATGGACAGAAGCAAAGCCAGAGGGAGACCCTGTGAAGTCAGAGCACTTGGGCACTCTCTGGCGAGACCATCTCGGGACAGGCAACAGAGCTGGATTTCGGAACAACCTGGCAGGGTCACAGTTGCCTCCTGTAGTCCCCGCCCCAGCAGTATCCTTAGAAGTCTGTACTTGCACCTCCCCGTGATTCATGAACTCTGACCCTTCCCCAATAAAGACTCCTGTACGAAGCAGGTCCGGTGGCTGTCTCCCTGCCTGCGCCTTGTGGTAGCCATGTCTCCAGCAGGTCTCAGGAAGGAGCACGTCTTTCTGCAGGGATATCCTGCTCCTCACGGGAGCCAGGACTGATGCTATCTGATCTTGCTTTTCCTAGCTGATCACCTTGAGACAGTGACTTCGTGTCTCTGTTCCTTGGTTTTCTCATGGCACAATGAGTAACAGTAGGAGCATTTCCCAAGCGGCGCTGCTGAGTGGAAGCAAGCAATACTCAGGGTCGCTATTGTCATCCCAGGGATGGAGGTGTGGTGAGGGAACTGTGGCTCAAATGGTAGAGCACTATTCTTGAGCAAAAGAAGCTTCAGGACAGAACCAGGCCCTGAGTTCAAGTCCCAGGATTGGCACCAAAAATTAATGAAAAAAGGAAAAAGCAGAAAGTAAATCATACACTACAAAGAAAGCTTCAGAGAGGCAATTTCCTCAGTTTCCTTATGTGTAAAATGAGGGACATCACCCACTGTCCTCTATCTCCCCCAGGAGGTGGGGAAACTGTCCAAGTGGACTTGGAGAAGACAGATGTTTGCATCTGTCAGAACCTGCTATACCTCCTCAGGAGCCTCAATTCCCTGGTCACCTGATCTGCTGTTAATACATGGGACAGCCTGTATCTGTATCTGGGGAAGGGTGAATGTGCACCATGTGCACCTCACCAGTGACGAGACAGGCTAGGCTTGCTGCAGCCTCTTCTACAAAGCAACTGGAAAATCAGGTCAGAGTCTGGCATTGGTGGCTCATGCCTGTTATCCTAGCTACTCGGGAGGCTGAGTTCTGAGGATTGGGGTTCGAAGCCAGACAGGAGAAGGAAAGTCTGTGAGACTCATTTCCAGTTAGCCAAGTAAAAGCCAGAAATAAAGCTGTGGCTCAAGTGACAGAGCACCAGCCTTGAGTGAAAAAAGCTAAGTGGACAGCACCCAGGTCCTGAGTTCAAGCCTTAGTACCAGCATACACACACATACACACCCCGGGTCAGGAGTCACTGACCCTCAGCTTAATGTTCATGGAGGCTGCTATACCCCAAAACCATATTGATGGTAGGGCTAACAGGCTGGAAGAGGGGAGCCCTAGGACCCTCTGCAGCTATCCTCTGATATGACAGAGGTAAATGGCATCTTAAGAAAGGGCTTTTGGAAGTACTGCAAGATTGTATGCACAGAACAGCCTAGAAGGATTCCTTTCCCCATGAGCTAGGCTCTTTTTCCTCTTCCCTCCCTCCCTTCCTTCCTTTTCTTTCTTTCTTTCTTCCTTTTTTCTTTCTTGTTCTAGAGCTTGAACTCAGGGCCCGGGCACTGTTTTGCTCAAGGCTAGCACTCTGTCATTTGAGTCACAGCTCCACTTCTTGCTTTTTGGTGATTAATTAGATAAGTATAGCACAGGCTTTCCTGTCCAGGTTGGCTTTGAACCGCCATCCTCAGATCTCAGCCCCCTGAGTAGTTAGGATTACAGTGTGAGGCACGGGCATCCAGCTTGGTTAGGTTCTTCTGTTCCTATGAGCAGTCACGTTCTCCAGTCCTTTGCTGCTGGAGTGAGCTGGAGTGAGGAGGGGGACAGCACAAGGCCCTGGGCAGGCTGAGAACAGCCATGGCAGGGGGAGGCCGGGACTAGTCACTCCAGGTCCAGTGGTCTTCCAGGCCTTAAAGCAGGAGTGAGAGTAATTCCACACCCCCCCCACCCTCCCCCCCTGCTCCACCACTCCCTCATCGGCGGAAGAGCCTGGCTTTCTGTCACAGAGAGACCCTGGTGGAGGGGAAGTTCCTTTCCTTTCCCACAGTGCTCAGGGAGTCTGGAGCAATGAGCCAGGCTGTGTGTAGTGTGTGGTGATGGCCACTAGGGGGAGGTGTCGAGCTGGACGAGAGGGGGTCCCAGGCTGGGTGGACCTTGACTCTGCCTCACACTGTTTTTCTAAATTGGTGAGTTTATACAGCAATGTTTCCACATAGGTGCGTTTTCTCCCAAGACACCAATCAGCCTGGGTAAAACCCTCCTTCACCTTTAAAAGGCACAGGCCACTCTGCTCTCATTTTGATTTGTAATGTAGAAAAAATTATCCCCAACGTAAGGTTTTCAATCAAAGCAGCTGGTGCACCAGCCTTCAAAGAGCAGGATCTCCATCAGTGCAAAACATCCCAGGAAAACACTTGTCTGAGGGGGAGCCCCAGTGGGGTTGTCTGACCTTGTAAACACCAGCATAGCCCAGCACCTCGCTTTAAAGTGGGAGGTCTTAGGGCAAAGAAAGGACCAGGTGCAAAGGTCCGGGCCATGTGGTTAGGTGGGAGGGAACAGAGTGGGTGGGCTCTTCCACGGTCCCTGTCACAGAATAGCCTGAGACACAGAGGAAGGAGGGGCTATGTCATCTCTAAAAGACTAGTGCTGTTGCTCACACCTGTACTCCTAGCTACTCAGGAGGTTGAGGTCTGAGGATTGCAGTTCAAAGCCAGCCTGGGCAGGAAAGTCTACAAAACTCTTATCTCCAACTAACCAGCAAAAAAAACTGGTAGAGCTCAAGTGGTAGAGCTCCAGCCTGGAGTGAAACAGCTAAGGGACAGTGCTTAGGCCCTGAGTTCAAGCCTCAGCACCTCTTACCCCAATACACACAAAGGTTTCAGACTCTGATGTCTCAGTAAATTTCACAACAAAGGTCCTGGCTGGAGGGAAAGGACACACTTAGCTCTGGCAGGGATGGTTCAACTGCCTCCTGTCCACTGTAAGCTGATCCTGAGCTAGAAAGTGACTGGGGTCGCTGTCTAACTGTCCACACCAGGGTACCTGGAAACCACAGTGTGGTCAAGATTGCCATCAGCAAACCAGGAAAAACAGTGACCCCATGAACACGGTCTGCCGGCCTCACCTCCAGGGCCCCTGTGGACAGAGGCTGCTGGTCTCAGGGACCCTGCAAACTCAGACTGCTGGCCTTACCTGGGGGACCCCATGGGCGCAGACTGCTGACCTTACCTTGGGGACCCTGTGGATGCAGACTGCTGGCCCCAGGGACCCCGTGAACATGGGCTGGCAGCCTCAGGGACCCTGCAAATAGGGACTGTGGGCCTCACCTCTCGGTGTCGGAGCTGGAAGCTTCGGCCCTCATGGTAGCAATTGTAGGTCTTCAGGAGGCTTAAGAGCTCTGACCTGAAACATAAAGACATGCAAGCACACTTGGGGAGTACAGAGGCCCCAACAAGGTGTTAGCCTTCATGGACCTCAGTGTCTTCATTCGTGTGTGTGTGTGTGTGTGTGTGTGTGTGTGTGTGTGTGTGTGTAGAGAGAGAGTATTGGGGCTTAAACTCAGAGCCTCACACTCTTGCTTGGCTTTTTCCCTCAAGGCTAGTGTTCTACCATATGAACCATTATCCCACTTGTGGTTTTCTGCTGATTAGTTGGAGATAAGAGTCCCTTCCTTAGCCGGGCGCTGGTGGCTCACGCCTGTAATCCTAGCTACTCAGGAGGCTGAGATCTGAGGATCGCGGTTCAAAGCCAGCTCGGGCAGGAGACACTGTGAGACTCCTATCTCCAATAAACCACCAGAAAACCGGAAGTGGCGCTGTAGCTCAAGTGGTAGAGCGCTCACCTTGAGCTGAAGAGCTGAGGGACAGCGCCCAGGCCCAGAGTTCAAGCCCCACGACCGACAAAAAAAAAAAAAAAAGAGTCCCTTCCTTGGATTTGTCTGACTTTGAACCTCTATCATCAGATCGCCTCGTGAGTAGCTAGGAATACAGGTGGGAGCCACTGGCACCTCGTCCAAGTATATTTTGTTGTTGTTTTTTAATATAAGAGTAAATTTTTAAAAAGTGGGGTGAAATACATCAACAAAGTTCACCAAAAAAGAAAAACAAATCTCACAACCGCTGGACACTGGAGCTCATGCCTGTAATCTTAGCTTCTCAGGGGGCTGAGATCTGAGGATTGAGGTTCAAAGCCAGGCCAGGCAGAAAAGCCCTGTGAGACTCTTTTTTTGTTAATTTTTATTTTTTGTGAACATACTGTACAGAGGGGTTACAATTATATGGGCAAGATAATGAGTACATTTCTTATCAAGCATTGTAGCCTCCTCCTTTGTTTACCCTTCACATCCCTTCCCAGACTCCCCCCCTGTGAGACTCTTATCTGCAATTAACCACTCAAAACCCTGATGTGGTGCTGTGGCTCAAAGGAGTAGAGCACTAGCCTTGAGTGAAAGAACTCAGAAACAGCACCCAAGCCCTGAGTCCAAGCTCCACAACCACCACCACCAACAACAAAGAGATCTGGAGGACTGTGGTTTGAAGTCAGCTCAGGCAGAAAAGTTAGTGACACTCCATCTCTAAGCAGCAAAAGTGTTGGATTAAACTGGGTGCTGATGGCTCACGCCTGTAATCCTAGCTACACAGGAGGCAAAATATGAAGATCATGGTTCAAAGCTAGACTTGGCTGAAAAAAAATTAACCCAAGAGCTGCAAGTGGAGCTGTGTTTTGAATAACAGATCACTAGCCTTGAGAGAAAAAGCTCAGGGACAGCGCTCAGGCCCTGAGTTCAAGCCCCAAGACTGGCATAAAAAAATGCTGGATTAGATGCATGGCTCAAGCAGTAAAGCAATAGTTATAGGCTTGTACCCAATAAAGCCTCAGGTACAAGCAATGAAACAAAACAAAACCAGAGAAGCTCACAACCAGTTTTGTGCTTTTTGTTTTTTAGTTCATTTTGAACAGTAGAATGCTGGGATCGTTCTAATCTGTGTGTGTGTGTGTGTGTGTGTGTGTGTGTGTGTGTATGTTTTCTGGGGCTTGAACTCAGGACCTTGGTGCTATCCCTTCACTTTTTTTTTTTGTCAGTCGTGGGGCTTGAACTCTGGGCCTGAGCATTGTCCCTCAGCTCTTCAGCTCAAGACAAGCGCTCTAGTGCTTGAGCCACAGCACCACTTCTGGTTTTCTAGTGGTTTATTGGAAATAAGAGTCTCACAGACTTTCCTGCCTGGGCTGGCTTTGAATGGTGATTCCTCAGATCTCAGCCTCCTGAGTAGCTAGGATTATAGGCCTGAGCCTCTGGCACAGTTTCCCTTCACTTTTTTACTCGTGCTCTTATTTGGCTTTTTCTACTCAAGGCTTACACTCTACCACTTCAACCACACCTGCACTGCTGGTTCATTGGAGATAAGAGTCTCACCAATTTTCCTGCCTAGGTTGGTTTTGGAACCAGGATCCTCAGAAGTAGCTTGGTTGGGTCATTCTAGTCTTTAAAGAAGTGACATTAAACACTGCCACCACAGAGCCCTCTGGGCCCTGGTCTGTCCAGCTTTTGTGGGTCCAAGGAGGGGAGGCCCACACCCACACCCTGAAGAACCACAGGAAGTCCTACCCCTGACCCAAGGTACAGTATCACATGCATAGAACACATATACATACAACAGAACCCAAGCTCCCACTGCCCATGGACCATGTGGGGAGGAGCCATGCGGAGGATGGGCGCCATCTTCCCTGCACACCCAGACTTACTTGAGTATGTGCTTGTTGTCGCTGATGGGCACCTGAGAGCTGGGTGAACCATCTTCCTTCATCTTTAGCTTCTCTCTGCAGACCTGGAGGTCACCTGCTGGAAGCATGGAGTCAGTGAGTACAGTTCCCAGCATTGACTTGGAGGGTAATGCCGTGGCCTGACATCTGTCCATGTGTGGGTGGCTGCGCTGGAGGACTCAATATGAGGTCTCCCTGATCACTCTGGAAAATTTCACACAATCCCCAGCTCATTCAAACCATGTACTCCCTTCCCATGATGGGCACTGTGTGTGTGTGTGTGTGTGTGTGTGCGCGCGCGCATGCTGAGGCTTGAACCCAGGGCCCCTCATTCACTTGGGTTTTGTGTTCAAGGTTAGTAATCTACTGCGTAAGCCACAGCTCCTACGTCCAGCTTTTTGGTGGTTAATTGAGGACAAAGAGTCCCACTGACTTTTCTGCCTTGGTTGGCTTTGAACCATGGTACTCCAAAGCTCAGCCTCCTGAATAGCTAGCTAGGTGTGAGCCACCAGCTCCCGGCTCTTACATTTTCATTGTAAGTAGTTATACAAAGGGGTTTCAGTTTTCCGTTCAACAACTCAGATTATGAGTACAGTGCATCTGGTGTTTGATAGTCTTATGAATCATTATTTTTCAAGTCGTTCTACAAAGGGGTTTCAGTTCTCCAAGTGAGATTAAGAGAACAATACATCTTGATCATGGTCACCCTTTCCACACTTGTCCCTTCATCTCTATGAAATTGTGTAGATCCTAAAAAACATCCTATTAAGTCAAGAATTTTCATCTGCTCTGCCTGTAATCCTAGCTACTCAGGAGGCTGAGATCTGAAGATCACGGTTCAAAATTAACCAGGGCAAGAAAATCCCTGAGTTTCTGATCTCCAATTAACCAGCCAAGAGCCAGAAGTGCAGATGTGGCTCAAGTGGTACAGCACCAGCCTTGAATGAAAAAAGCTATGGGACAGTGTCCCCCAGGCTGTCAATCCCATTGCTAAGCAGGGGGACGCTGGACATGGCACAGGGTGACTCACACCCAGGCAGGAAGAAGTGGGCCGACAGATTTCATCATGCCGCTCATGCCTGCCACTTAAAGCTTAGCATTGTTTATTTCCAGAATATTCCACTTAACTATTTCCAGACTACAGCTGACCTCAGGTAACAGAATCCATAAAAAGTAAAACCATAAATAAGAGTGACTACCATTTTGAGGAGGGGTGCAATTTAAAATTTAGTGATTGTTTATTTCTAGAAGATTCTACTTATTTCCAGACTAAAGTAGACTTGAGGTAATGAATTCTGCAGAAAGTAAAGCTGAATATTAGAAGGGCTGCCATTTGCTGGTGGGAGGTACTGCCTACCCCAACTAACAGAGGTCACCCCGTTTATGAACTCCAGTACGCGCTCCAGCCTGGCACACCCGGCCACCCATGTATGCACAAAGCTTCTTGTTCTTGGGGTATGTCAAAGCAGAGTACTCACAGATGCTGGTGGCTCACGCCTATAATCCTAGCTACTCAAGAGGCTGAAATCTGAGGAATGTGGTTTGAAGCCAGCCCATATACAAAAGTCCATGAGACTTATCTCCAATTAACCCCCAAAATTAAAAAGCTGGAAGTGGAGCTGTGGCTCAAGCAGTAGAGCACTAGCCTGGTGCACCAGACACTGCATTCAAGCCCCAGGACCCGCCACAAACAAGCAAATGCATTCCTGCGGGAGCACAGCCCAGCCAGCAGGGGGCAGCACGCCTCTGCCATGGAGATTCCTCCTGACTCCCAAGCCTACTTTGAGGCCCTGTCCTTTGACTGACTGTGTCCAGCCCATGCACAGCACAGCCTGGGTCATGGTAGGACCCTGTAAATAACTGTTTGATGACTGAACAAAGACAAGAAAGAATCTCAGGGGTATGATTGAATTGTTAAGAGAGAGAGAGAGAGAGAGAGAGAGAGAGTGTGTGTGTGTGTGTGTGTGTGTGTGTGTGTGTGCAGGTAGTGGGTTTTGAACTTGGGGCCTGGGCGCTGTCCCTTAGCTTTTGTGCTCGAGGCTAGCACTCCACCACTTGAGCCATAGTTCTTCTTGTGGCTTTTTTGTGGCTAATTGGAGACAAGAGTCTCACAAACTTTCCTTCCTAAACTGGCTTTGAGACTCAGACCCACAGATTTCAGCCTCCTGATTAGCTAGGACTACAGGTGTGAACTATCAGTACCTGGATCCCTGAGGGGTTTTAGCAAACATTCCCTCAAAGAGAAGTGCTGGACCTTCAGGTTTGCTCTGATGTGAAGAGACTCAACCCCTAAGAATTTGAGATTATAGAATGTTTGCTTGAAATAAATATGAACATATACGTACACACACACACACACACACACACACGAGAGATTCTCATAATTCAGCTCTTCCAGAGTTGTGTATGTACAACCAGAATACAAAACATAATACTGTCTGGGGGCTGAGGAGTAACTCAGTTGAGGGACCCTGGTTGTGGGGGGTCAGAAGCACAGCTCCGGTATTTCACAGGAAGCCAGAAGTTTGAGTATTTATGAGTTATATTTCACTGGTTAAAGCTAGATGTCTCTGGAAGAGACACAAAGACCCATGGAATGACTGTGATCAGTGTCCTCCAGGCTGCCTGTCCCCTGTGAGCCCATGTGACAGGTACTTGCTGGGGGAGGAGGGTGGGCTGGGTCACAGCATATGTAAGAATTGGTGTGCAGGTCAACCCAGGAGGATCAAGGAGGTGTGCTAACTGGTGCAATTGCTACAGGGTCAGGTTGGGTCTTGAGTAACTGCGTGGGTCAGAGTCCTGGGCAGTCCACAGAATATTTGTATTGGGCATGGTGGCTCACATCTGTAATCCTAGCTACTCAGGAGGCTGAGATCTAAGAATGGAAGTTCAAAGCCAGCCTAGGCAGGAAAATCCTTGAGACTCAACTCCACTTAACCACCAAAAAGTTGGGTTGTGGGCTTTGAGTTCAAGCTCCAGTACCACCCCCCATCTCTCTCTCTGACACACACATGAAATAAATAAGTCTCTTTCATGATAAGTGGACGTATTTCATGGATTTGTTGTAGCAACAGAATCAACCTAACACAGAAACAATTCTTAAAACAGCAGCTACACTTCACATTCTTATTTAAATATTTTAAATTTACATTTAAATATATTTACATTTATATGTAATTATTAAATACACTTAAATTGAAATAAACCTAATGCTTAAATTTAAATTAATTTAACGTTTAAATATATTCAGACATAGACTATAGGCAGGTGAAACACACTTGCAAGATGAGTTACTAGGGCTCTGGTTCATGACTCAGTCTCATGATCTGACTAGGTGACAAGACTTTCGTTCTCCTACAGTTTGAAGTAAATGTTCCCATTTTGCTCTATGTAGTAGGAACATCAAGTATAAATTTTCTTTTTTTTTCTGTGCTAGTACTGGGGCTTAAACTCCCACTTGGCTTTTTCAATCAAGGCTAGCACTCTACCAGTTGAGACACAGCTCTACTTCCATTATCTTACTTTTCTTTCTCTCTTTCTCTCTCTCTTTCTCTATCCCTTTCTCTCTTTCTTTCTTTCTTTCTTTTGCTCGTTAATTGGAGGTAAGAGTTTCACAGACTATTTTCACAGACTAGATCTCATTCTTGATCCACAGCTCTCAGCCTCCTAAATTGCTAGGATTATAGAAGGAAAGCAGTGTAGGTCAGGCAACAGTTACTTATTAACAGAAGATATTAAAGTGCTGGTGTATAAGTGGGGCTGCCAAAAGCTGGTGTATAAGTTGGGCTGCTAAGACCTGGATGTCCTGATTTGCCCAGTTTCATCAATCTTAATTTTCTCATCTGCCTAATAAGGATATTGGGCTAGGAATGTGACATAGTGGTAGAGTGCTTGCCTAGCATGCATGAAGCCCTGGGTTTGATTCCTCAGTACCACATTAAAAACAACAATAACAACAAACAAACAAACAAAACCCCAGAAAAAACCAGAAGTGCCTTTGTGCTCAAGTGGTAGAGCACTAGCCTTCAGCACAAGAGCTTAGGGACAGTGCCCAGGCCCTGAGTTCAAGCCCCAGGACTGGTGAAAAAAAATGATATTGATCTCCAAGGGTTAGATGGGTTACACATTGTGGATTTTTTTTTTTAACCAATCCTGGGGCTTGAATTCAGGGCCTGGGCACTGTCCTTAAGCTTTTGTGCTGAAGCAAGTACTCTACACTTGAGTCACAGCATCACTTCCAGCCTTTTCTGAATAGCTTACTGGAGATCAGAGTCTCATGGACTTTCCTGCCCAGCTGGCTTCCAGCCTTGATCCTCAGATCTCAGTCTCCTTGGTAGCTAGAATTATAGGCAAGTCAGTCTCCCCTGCCCCCTCCCAACCGTTTATGCAAAGCAGATTAAAGGGGCTGCTTTGGTAGGCTAGTGGGAAGCCCCGCCCACTGGGCACCAGTTGGTCCTATTGAAAAGCTATGTCCCCAGATGGTTTCAGCAGTGTCCCCCCATACACAGCACACACACCTGCTTATACACACTGACTGTGTGCTCCAGTGGGATTATGTCAGCTGCTCAGAGAAGTCAGAGGGGAAAAAAATGAGAGGCCCAAGATTGCAGATGGCAAAAGGGGAAGGGAGAGAGGGGAAGATGGGTACTGTGGGGTAAACAGCTAAGCTTGCCCGGGATATCCCAAGGGAGGGGAGAGAGGTCAGCAAACAAGGCCAGGCTCCCCCACCTTGCTCAGCCCAGCGGGAGCTACACTGGGAGGCAGATGGGGGGGGGGAGGGGAAGGCTCCCTAGCACAGCCTCTCCTTTGAGAGAAGTCTACATTTAATTTGTGTCCCCTGACACCATCACCAGCATGAGTCACTTGATCTCTTGATCACTCCGAGTCCCTTGATCTCTTTTATCTCCACTTCCCTTTTGCTAGAACACTCACAGAATTCTTGTGTGGAAACTGGGTCTGCGGCCTGTGCCAGCCCTCCAGCTGAGCTGACTTTCCCTCATTCTAGAGCGCCCCCTAGCTGCAGTTTGCAACTCACGGAGAGGCATTCTAGAGACCCTTGCTGAGTGGGAGAGACTGAAG